AGAGAATCATTATACATAGTTATTTTATTCAGGGTTTTCCACAGTCTGACATCATTTCAGAATTCCCTGACTTTTAACTGACTCAGGATTAGTTTTCCCTGACAAAATAAATGCAGCTGTTTGTCGTTTTGGTAACTACATCAAAATTACCGCTAGGTGGAAAAAAATCACGCCATCTGGTGGAAAATCACACGAGAATGTGTACAAAACAACAAAAATGGCGCCGGCAACGCTTCTGGGTCGTTTTCATCGAATGTCAGTGATTTTAAAGTAATTTTTGGTGATAAATAAATTCTTTTTTTTTGCAATCATTGCACCGGGAGATCGGGCGATGGTTAACATCGCGCCCTGGAAGCACTCAGAGGTGTTTAGATTTAGATGATGTCTATCATCAGCAGGTCTAAATGGGTTGTGTGTTTTTCACTGATGTGATCTCTGTCTGCTGGTCACCTGCACATTAAGTTTCACTCAAGCCATCTTGGCTGCTGCCATCAGAGGTGAAAGGTTAAGTACTGCTGTCGTGCATTACTCTTTGCACAGGCAAATGCTGTTCATGCTTATGGTTTAATTTCGGCTAGCATCCTCTTATCAGCTTTACGTGTTCTTATGTGCAGACACTTAATGCCTCAGTTGTCCTTAATCCTGCTGCTTTTTCCTGTCGTTTTAGGAGAGTTTTACTGCAGATATGTGCTGAGTGCATCCAGGCCAATTCCTTCAGAATATTTATGCAGCTATATGGACTCTGCTGCATTTGAAGGTGCACTGAGGCTAATCAGCGTATGCTTTGTAATGAGGTTCAGCTTATTGTCATTTATAGGACGTCATTTGGTTTAAAACGCTCCATTGCACTTAAAGGAAAAGTCTGTTTATATTCAGATTTCAAACTTCTGAAAGTACTTTAAAAATGAAATTATTCCATCCTGTTCAATAAATGATTAGTGTTTTTGATTAAAAGTAATTTTTTTTTAATGTGCTTTCCTGGAGGCGTCCATGTTTGGCAATGCATGGCTGAGGACCCCAAACATTAGACACGCTTGATTCTGACTACTTTGGATCTTTAAAAATGGAGACAAATTTATGCCGACTTTAAAATGGGAAGGCGCCATGTAGGGGGGTGTTTGCAGACCTTTTTTGTGTGCGTGTGTGTGCGTGCGTGCGTGTGCGTAGCCTATTGGCAACCCACCATGTTTTTGTTAGAAAGAAATAGAAATAGTCAGGAGAGTTTTAAAATGGTGGTTCGTTGATGTGTGATTGAAACAATCATGTTTAAAGCACAACGCTGTTTTTTTTTCCATTGTTTCCTTGATTTTCCGTTATTCCATCATGTTCTACTCACCCATATGAGTTTAGTGTCATTTGGAGCCGTTCTGAAGATATTCCGTTAGGTTATATCCAAGTAACGTCTTCCTATGGGCAACGACTGAAGGCACAAACTAAACTGTTCATCATTTATTCTTCATGGTACGCCAGCATTCAGAACATGGAGGCCAATCACTGGCCCCCAGACATCCGCAGTTAAATAAAAAACAAAAAAAAAACGGCGTTCCCTTTTAATCGATTTTTGAAATAATCAACTAATTCAGGAACAAATGAATCCTTACCTGGAGTATAGAGGTTATAAAACTTGCCTTTAGCTGACAGCGACCCACTTAGAGCAGTAATTATACCCAATTTGTAAAAAAAAATAAAGATCTGTAAACATTTTGCATTTAAGATAAAAATGTTTTCATTGTTATTAATTGATCAAAAATGTAATCTATTAATCGACAGATCAATCAATTAGCAAAATAATTCTTAGTTGCAGCCTCGGCTGGGTAAAAAAAAAATGGATTTAATCGATTTAGTTTTGCAAAATCGATGTCTAGAGAATGAGATGGATTAGTTTTATAGTGACGTGTGTGATGTTCAGGTTCAAATGAGCAGGAAAGATGCTCTCTAGCTGACTTCAAGCCAGACAGCTGCAAATATGGCCAACAGGTTGACTGAAGACATTAAGGAATGGGGGCTGAGCAGCAAACACCCTGTAGTTACAGACAGCGCTGCACATATGGTGCAGTGGAGATAATGCAGCTCATGCATGTCCCGCTGTGTCACGTCTGCTCGCTCGAGTGAGGCTTCACTTTTTCACTTTTCACAAACAAGTTTGCACTTTTCAGACAGTTTTGTTCACATCTCAAGTTGAAACTGTCTGAATTACAAGTTTGCACTTTGTGTTTAATGTGACAGGAAAAATAAAACACAAGTATTTTGAAACAATACATTTTAAAAACAGATTGAATCAATTTAGAACCGTATGAATGAAAATGGAATTGATTCAGGACTTTGGCCAAAATAGCAGCCCTTGTTGCAGCCCTGCATGTTATCATGTAATAGGCCTGCATTATATTATAATCTGACTTTATAAGAAAAAAAATAAAGAAAAATCACAACTGGGATTAAACAGGAACTTTGCCTCGTTTACAGAACATCTTAGAAAAACACAGTAAACAACATCTAACCCGGAATGTCAGTCAGAGACGTGCTGGATGCATAGTAGGGAATTATTATAGTTTAAAAAATGAAGCAGAGCTTTGATGTTTAATCAAACTATATTTAATAAGAGATTTGTGTAAATTTACCAGAAGATCATGAATATATTAAATAACTAGAACTGGAAGTTAGAGGTGGGTAAAAGGGTCACATCAAAGTTAAAGCTAATTTATTTTCAGTCGGATGATTGTAACTGTGATTTACTATCTGGCCTGAGTTTTCAGTCCCTTACACAAAAAGGTTGGACCCCTGAAAAACTTCAGTTGTCTTTCAGCAGTAATGAGGTCTTCCTAAAATGCTGGCAAACGCTGAAGGTTCTACGGGTTTTTTCCATGCATAGAGTAAACCTAACGAGTCCAACGACAGCCTAACTTATGCAGAAAGCACGGCAGCGTAACGCCCATGAAATGGAGCACAGGCGTCGTTTCACGGGCATTACGAAGCATCAGTTCAAGGTCTTCCCTCAAGCGCATCGCTGCTCCTGAGGCCCCCCCTCCCCCCCCCCCCCCCCCCCCCCCCCCCCCCCCCCCCCCCCCCCCCCCCCCCCCCCCCCCCCCCAAAAAAAAAAGAATAAATAAAAATAAAAAGAAAGAAGGTTTTTAGTGGCAGCAGATACCGCGTCATGTCTGCTAAGAAGTTTGTTGGTGGCGGCGAACGCAGGGAGGATCCATCACACTCACCTTCTGATGGGGATCAGGTCTGCAGGAGAAGTTACTCAGAGGTTTAGGATCAGCTGGACGCCACTTCTTATGAGTAACTGACGCTGAACGTCTGTCCACCATCAGATAACTGACCTGGAACTGATGGCCCATGTATGGCATACCCTCATTAACTAATTCAGGAACCAATGAATCCTTAACTGGAGTATAGAGGTTATAAAACATGCCTTTAGCTGACAGTGACCAACTTAGAGCAGTAATTATACCCAATTTGTAAATGTCGTCGTGTGCTAGCAGCTTCCCATAACGTATGCCGGCGTTTTTACCAGATTTTGCGTTCGTCGTTTCTGCATGTTAGATCAGAAGCAGCTGGAGCAATGTGTTGCGTCCGTACGTTGCGTTTTAGCGGTCCATTACACATCCTTATAGCTAAGCTAACCGTCTTGCTATTTCTCCTAGCTTCAACAAACATTTCCAGTTGATGTTCGCTGTGTTTGTTTTCATCACCTTCCAGCCTGTAAACAAAGGTGGACCCATCGATTTCTGTTGAGATTTGACCCAGGGTAACCTTCAGAGCGTAACAAGCGCTCCCTTTCAGCTGCCACCTTTACGCATGATCCCCCTCATATTATGCCTCATAAATTCAAGCTGCTGTAGGTAAAGTCCACACGCTAGAGGCTGTGAAATAACCCTTAGAACAGGGGTTAGCATTGCTCATTTGAACAGTGCAGCCAGGATATGAGAAAGATCAGATCCTGAATCATGGCGTGCTCTTAGACAATTAGATGGAAAGTTAGAGAAATATTTGCTTCCCAAATGTTCTGTCCTCATTTTTATTTATTTATTTATTTATTCATTTGCACAATTTGGCTCATTTGGAGATGTTTGGAGATGCTGGTGACACCAGAAGTTAAAAGTCCCATAACTCTGACACTGTAATAGCTAGAAGTCTGAAATGTGTGATTGACATGATGCAGGACAAATATCACACAATGACGCATGCCTGCCACCAAGCAAGTCTTTGTTACTGCTATTATTGTAAAGAACAAAAGATGTTCAGTCATGTTTGAACTGATGCAGTTTCGGCTGTGATTTAGTCACTATTTTCATTGTAGATCTATAGGTCCACGTTATTTTTAGAAACTAGAAGGTGTTTGCTTTCTGATGATGTGTCGCATGTAATTTGGCCTTACAGTTCTTTGCTTTATTATTTGGGTATGCAAAAAGGCAAAGCTTGCTTAAAACGAGGTGGATGTTAAGAAGATAAACAGCAACACTTCACAATGATTTGTGGTATGTGGAGAGTAAAAAAAAAAAGCTTCTGTGCATTTAGTAACAGATCTGCTGACTCTGCAGGGTTATCATGGGATCAGGCGTGTCTTCAGCTGGAGCTCCGACTGTTCGGGCCGAAGCTGTAGAGGCGGTTCCTCCTCAGGGCTGCCCGATGCACAGGAGCCAGCCTGCCAAAGGTAGATATCCACGCCATCTTTATCTTCCACACAAATAAAAGACTTTGATTACAATGACATGGTTGCATTTTCTCAGTGTCTCCCCCTGCAGGCTGCCCCATGCATCAAGCTCAGCCTATCAAAAGTAAGTTGTTTGATTTGCTGTGTGGGTTATTGTTTTATTTGATGTATTGTTCCAATATGTTGAGTTAAAATGCTTTTCCAAATGTCTTAAATCTTTGACAGCCTCCTCTCCATCAGAGGTTCCATTGGGCCGTGAGGAAGCAGGTCCAGCGCATCAGGAGCGGGCCTATGAGTTTGTGGAGTGTCCAATGAGGGCTGCAGAATCTGGAAAGAGCGACATTAACCCAGCAAACATGGTACAGAAATATGCTTGTATGTGTGTATATTAGGGCTGGGCAATTAACTGCGTTTGCATTATAATAGCAGTTTAACTAAACGCAGTTTTCAAATGGCAGAGGGACTGATGTTTATCATTTAACATGAGAAAGACCCCAACTTTCTCCCTCCAGCCCTATGGGGGGAGGGGGGGTTAAAGGTTCGCCACGTTAAAGGTAGAGAGAGTTGCAGCTAGCATGCAGATGGTTACGGTAAAGTCCTGTAACTAAGGACAAGCACGCTTTGAAAAACGGAGAGCCTGAGTTGAAACATCGATAGCAGAGGTCACAGATTAGTGGTCTGGATCCGGACCTCCAATCTCTAGCCTGGCCCTAATGCTCCATGGCTCAGCAGGGCTGAGCTGCACCCCACTGATTCTAAAGGTTTAATTCACTGCCACCTAGTGGCCACAAGGTGGCAGTGGGAAAGGATCTGTTATCACCTTCAGTGCTTCTGGATTGATTGATTGAACTTTTTCATGTTTCAAAGATGTTCAGTGATGGAGCCTGTGAATTCACCTGCTTTGAATGTTTCATCTTTGCACAGATGCCACCCCCTAACCAAGTACCAGCTCCCGATCAGCCCTTCTCACTGTCCGTCTCCAGAGAAGAGTCCAACATTCCCCGCCACGGAGCAGAGAAGAACTGGGTTTATCCTTCAGAGCAGATGTTCTGGAACGCCATGCTTCGGAAGGGGTCAGTTTGTTTCTATAGCGCCAATTCACATCCTGTCATCTCAGTTCACTTTATAGTTCATCAGATCCTCCATCAGATTGATTCAAAGTTTTCTATCTAAGGAAAACCAGTTGATTGCATCGACTCATTGATTCTTCAGCAATCCCTCACACTAAGCATGCTTGTAGCGACAGTGGAGAGGAAAAGCAGGAAGAAACCTCCAGCAGAAGCAGGCTCAGTGTGAGCAGCCATCTACCGACTGCAGTTCGGCAGCAGATGGCCGCTTATGAACCCTTTGTTTATACCATCTCTAAAACAAAAAAAAAGGTGTATGTGGGTGGGTGGGTGTGTATTTAAGTTGGTGAGAAACCCTTCATCAGTTTAAGAGTAAATATTAGCAGAGGGGCTGCATTTGTGGAAAGGTTGATGAAATCTTTAATCTCGTCTAACGAGCTAAGATGACAATTACACATTTTACACAGCATGATTGTTTTCCTGAAATCGCTAAATTGGGAAAACTTCAGATGTAAGTTTAAAGTCACGTTAAATAAAGCCATATTTAAACGCTGTATTTAAGCATCCATTTCCTTTGGGACGACACGGACGGCTGGAGATCCCCCATGATTACAGCAATCTGAGTCTGGAATCATAGATGCTGTAAAGAAGCATTCAGTCTTACCCTGATATCCTCCGTCACCGCCCTGCTGCACTCCGGACCGCCTGCAGACTCCCCTTTTCCTCCCGTCCTGCTTTGCCCTGACTTCCTCTGTGCTCGAGGAGAGCATGTCTATATTATTATTAAACTCATAGGAGCAAAACATGCAAAAATGAAAGCTTAATTTAATATGACACTGTCGTGGGAAAAAGGTATTCAACTATTCATCCATGTTAAATAAACGGAGATCGATGGATTTCACTCAGTCGGCACATTCATTCAATATCTTTGCAAAGAGAGAACAGTCATCATGAAGCCCTCATGGCACAGCATTCTGCTCTGTTCTGATCTGGGCAGGCTTCGTTTCCCCTTACTTACAACAATGGAAAGCAGTCAGAGTCATAACAAATTACAGACACTTTGGTGAAACTGCAACATGTTATGAATAAACCTTGAGAAAGAATCTGGATTGTTATGGGAAGAAGCTATGTCTGGTCTACAAACAGTAACAGGTTATGAATAAACCTTGAGAAAGAATCTGGATTGTTATGGGAAGAAGCTATGTCTGGTCTACAAACAGTAACAGGTTATGAATAAACCTTGAGAAAGAATCTGGATTGTTATGGGAAGAAGCTATGTCTGGTCTACAAACACCAGCCTGGAGAGAAATGTGTGACCTTGAGAGAGAAACAGACTGAGTGAAAACTTTTATAGTGAGTAAATATGATAAATTAATATAAAATAGAAGAAAGATAAAATTTTTCCCAGTCAGCATTTAGCATATGTGCAGTTTCTGCCCAAATATTTAGTTTTTGTTGTAAATTTGTGTAACAGGAATAAAAGGATCATACAAAACTGCCTTTTTATGAACTCTGTTCTCTGCTTCCAAACTCAGCATCTCTTCATCCATTCCTGCAATAAGACGTTTCTTTTGACTGGATTTGATTTAACTTTTAAGCCTCTCTGTATAAAAAAAATATTTTGATGGAGACGAGAAATCTGCTTCCTGGGGTGTTGAAGATCCAATTGTTAGCATCCAATCTTTTAAATAAACTGATAGATTTTTAGAATATCTAAGAATTATGCTATGATCAGTAGTCACTAGGGGTGGAACGATTCACAAAATCCACGGTTCGGTTCGATTCACGGTTTCTGGTCACGGTTTTCGTTTCGGTTCGATACATGTTGATTGTTACACCGAAATCCCATAAAAATTTATGAAATTAATGAAAAAATCCCCCAAAAAATAATGGATTGTAATTATTTTAAATGATCCGTGGAAACCCTGGATCATTTCCGTTTTGCTGCTTTGAATTTCATCATCTCGCGCATGCTCTCTACTATCTCCAAGGGACTCAGAGGGGAGCGGACGGGAGCCACAGTGGAGGCTGTAGGCTTTGCTCTGAGCAGGCGGTCTGGAGCGCAGCGGGGCGGAGCGCGGGTTGCTGACGGAGTATGTGGGATTTCGGGGTTACCATGACATGTTGGTCATGTTGCCGTTAGCGTAAACAAAACGTGTTGCACAATGCTTGCACACTGTTGCACTTTTATCCACAACTTTCTTTCCGCCGTCATCGTAGGTCACTCTAAATGCAAAGTGGTCCCATACAGCAGACCTATAAAGTGCTGCTGGCGCGTCTTCCAACTCCTGTTCTTTCCAACTCGCCATACCCACACAATTCTCCACAACAACTGATTTTTTTCTGCTACACCCGGCTACGCTGCTTCGCTTCTTCTTCTTCTTCTTGTTTACTACTGGTGGTTGGCTTTGGTCGCAGCACCTGCCACCTTCTGCTCTGGAGTGTAAACGCTTCCCCTATGAGAAAAAGGAGCAGCGCATGAACCGAACGCAACACACACGAACCGAACCGAGACAGTCGAACCGAACGATTCTGACGGTTTTCATAAATCGTCCTATCCCTAGTAGTCACTGATCCGTCGTTGCCATATTTTAATTTTGCAAACCAGATCTCTTCACCGTTTTGTTCCCTGGTGCGATTGAATTTGCGGATCTTGACCTGGTCAGAGCGGAGCAGAGCTAAAAAATAGATCTGCTTGGTATTTTTATGGTGATGGACGGAGTAGCAGCGGTGGCTGTGGAAGACCTGTCATTGATTAACATGGCAGACAAGAACTGCGCACCAGTTGCATGAGTGGGGAAGAGTGCAGCGCTAACGGAGGATGTGGAATCTGGGGGTTAAAGCCAGATTTGCTTTTAACATAGAAATGCATATTGCAGATGCTGTAGTCAACTTGGTATTCTGAAAGGATCTATGGATGCTGGAGTCATCTGGAGCAGAGAGTTCCTGCGGATCCTTAAAAAGTCGGATGCTACGTTCAGACCCCACGCAGAAGAAACAGCAAAAACTCGCGTGTTGCTTCATTTTTGCTGCTTGTACCAGTTAGTTCTGACGTGCAGCTTAAGCATCTTTGCTGCTCTGGCTGTGCGGTCAAAAGTGTGTCTGATGCGCGTTGGGCGGAGCTACTCTATCCTTTCTTTGCCTTGCAGCTATATTTGCTGTGATCAGTGGGAATAAAGTAGTTTTAATATGTTTTAAGTGGGAAAATCCACCTGAAAACTTAATCATTGCAGTCAGTTCATCCAGATTACAATCCTGCCTTCCAAAATTATTTATGTCGGAGCCGCTCAGACCCCCACATACCAGCGGTGCGCTGTCAGAAGGAATCCCATTCAACAGCAGCCTTTGGCCCGGTCGCCTCCTCACGGTTTGCCGCGGCAGCTGGAAGCGGTTTCCATGTACGTAATCCAAACTGCAGGCAGCAGGATAATAAAAGCCAACATATTCTGTCGGCAGGTTTCTCTGCTCCTGCTTCTCAGAACATGCTGCAGGACCTTTTGCTGCTCCTTGATGTGCTTCAACCATTGACTTTGCATGGAAACCTGCTGCCTCTGCTGCTTTAAAGGGCATTTCATTCTTCAATATAAAATAAGGACTTAATTGGTATTAAAATGTCTTAAATCAGTCTTCCATAGGTCTTAAATTGTTCCCACTTTATAAATAGGATTTTATTTTTTAAATCCTTATCAAATATGAAGATAATTGACTATAACCTTTTTACATTTACCGAAAGGCTCACAGGAACCATTATTGGTTCCCTACTGATAGCAGAATCCAATATAAGCGATGTCGCGGCCAGGCCTTGTGGTGATGTGCCGCTAAGTTTTTATCTGGACAACATGGGGAAGTATGAATTCAAAGAAAATCAACTATGAAGAGTTTTCTACGTGGCGTAAACCAGGGAATGCAGACCAGGCAGGTGGAGTCACACATGAGAAGCATGAAACCAGGGTCCCAAATGAACTTTTTGACTCACTGCACATATATTTTTTTAAAGAACATATTATTTGTGTAAGGCATTATGTTAAATGGAAACCAAGTTATAGTAAAAGGTGATGTAGTTTTATTGAAAAAAGCTGTAATTTTGTATTTCATTAAATTTCATTCAGTGAAAAGTGCCGACCGGGCCAGAGGCTGCCGTTGAAGGTACCAGATGTGTTCTGGTCCTGCTTCATGCAGTGAGGTTACGCTACATGACTGGCTGAACGTTGCCACATGATGTGAAACATAGTGGTTGCCCAGACAACGATAATAACCTCAGCCAGGGTCCGTTAGCGTGTTTAATGACCGATGAAGTTTTACCCGATCGATAACAAAACTGAAAAAAATCTGTTTCTGGTGAACAAAGTAACTGTTAGACCGTGATATAAAGAGCTGGGTAGCGCTGTGGCTAGCTGTAGCTAACAGGTTAGCCTCTTTTAACTCTGTCCTTGAGCCATATTAAGCTATACTACTTTTTAATTTATATCAACAACAACCATTCCTTTTCTACAAGTAGAATAACTGTTTTATGTTTCTAAAATCTCTACAAAAGTTATTTTTATAACATTCCATCTGCCCTCAGATCTTAAAAAAAAGAATAAAGATAAACTGACTTTTTAATGTCACCTTGTTAAACGGCAGAGCTCAATCTGTCTTAGAAGTCTTGATGATGGTTGTTTTCTACTTTTAGCTACTTTAGATTGGGAATGAAATGTAAAATAGCAAATATAGGTAATAATATGTTGAGACTCCAAAAGAGATTTCATCCTTAAGAAACGGGTGCGATACAGTTTGTCCGAATGGAGTTGCCATATATATTGACATCATAAGAAGGGGCGGGGCCCCGAGCAGATCTGGTACCTATGCTGGACTTTCCCATTCAAAAACACTACTACTTTTTACCCACCTTGCAAGTATAGCAAAGCTGCTCTCTGCTATTTAACACAGGAGCAGCAGAAGCATCAGACACACTTTACTGGATGTCAGACCTTAATATGGACAAACATCAGAAACGAAGCAGCTGAAGCTTTTTTGATGCTTGCAGCGCATGCGGTCGTAGCATTACTTAAACTTCTAAGGGGGAAATTTAATTGATGCATAACAATGTGAAAAAAGGTAGACAAATAATTCAATTTTCAATTCAGTTTATTTCTATAGCGCCAATTCACAACACATGTCATCTCCAAGCACTTTACTGTTAAACCAGATCATCCAGTCAAATTGATTCAAAGTTTTCTATGTAAAGAAAGTTTGCATCGACTCATTGACTCGAAGGTAATCCCTCACACTAATATACTAAACTGCGACAACGCAATCTGTAAAACCAGCAGAGGGAGAATGTGTAATCAGGACTGCTATTATTTCTTTCTATCTACTCCGTTAAGAATAAAGCCAACACTGAAATTTATTCTGAAACTTGATCATGACATTTTCATGTATCTTAGTACATTTTATAAATGAAAGCTGATGTTTTTCACAAGCAGGTGTGTTATACCAGCTGTAAATGTCCAAAGGCCAAAATAATTGCTATTTTATCCCCAAACAACATCCATTTATCAATCTTTTGGAGTGAAGACTCCAATTAACTCAATGAACCATGAATAACATTGCTGCATCTGTTTGACGTTTGCTACAGATTTAGTACTGATCACGCCCCCCCTCTCCAGTTGTCATTTACGTTAGCTGTTGTTTTTCCCTCATTCCACTGACAGTATTATGCAAAATAACAAAAAAAAACAAACAAAAAAACTCCAAAATAATCCTATAGTTATCAGGCATTCCGGGAGTTTTTTACATTTTTCAGTTTTAATCTTCCCTGCTAGCTGCTAGCAGCGTGCTCGTTCCTGCCAATGAAGTTGTCCAAAGGGACTTTACATATTCCACCAACAACAGCGCCCATCTGCACTTCGTCACACAGGAATATGACCAATAAGATGTGACTACACCACACTAGAAGAGAAATTCAAGAAGGCGCTCCAGTTAGGAGTGGTGTTCTGTCAAATGAGCATACCCGGTCAGACCAGCAAACCCGTGGTCAATACCAGTTTATCTCTTAAGTTTATCCCTTTAGTTTGTCCCTTTGGTTTATCCCTTTGATTTATGCCTTTGGTTTATCTCTTTGGTTTA